TCTAGCCAAGGCAGTCATTATACAGATATACTACTTGAAGAAAAATAATATCATGGACTCTAAAGATGATTGAGTGGGGAAAAAACAGCTCGATATACAAAACCAGCTGAAAAGTAAAGATGCATCCTCTGAAAGCAGGTTGAATATGTTAATCTAGTGAAAAGAATGGTCCTTCATGTTTTGGCAAAGTCTTTTCCAGCCCAGAGTAAACATGAAATGAGCAGGCCGGAGTAAACTGGTTTCACAGTGTACAAAGCAGTTCACAGGGATGTTGCCACAGCAAAGTAAGCGGACATACATTTGAGGTCATTTGCATGAGTCAAACTTTGCAATGAGTAACTCACCTAGGAAGATATAAATTATTTATATAATGCTTTGCAAAGGAAGTGATCTACTAAAGTTGTACTAGTTACATTCAAAAGAAAGTAGTTCTACATGGTTTGTTCATTATAGACAAATCTATTCACAGTATGTGCAACTACATGACATGTGAAATCATACGGCAAAAGGAAATGAATTAACGCAGAACATGGGAAAATATCCCTCACATGTTTTTAAATGCCCTGCAATTTTCACATTCAAAATTTTATGCATCTAAATCTAAAAAAATATTATATGGAATACTCTTAAATTACACAAACTGATAATTTACTGGATTTTTTACTCTAATAGGAGCAAATTACCACATACTTGAACAAAGTTAAAATAGTTACTATTTCTTTATAATAAATTTGATGTATAATTTACTTTACTTGTGCTTTTTGCACCAATTTATAAATACATTATATGCAACACACAACCGATTTGGACACCAACATTAACAATTAAATTCAAAATAGCAAATACTTACCATATAAAATAAACAGCAAATACATTTTTTATGAAAACCAGAGCTTTCAGAACTGGAGGCCAAATTCTCTGGAAACCATGTCAAGTTTGAGCACTGTGGAATCTCATGCCAGCTGCGAGATTCTTTTTCTCAAGTTGGCATAAGATTCAGGAGAACCAAAACTGGACACAGTCATTTTTGCCAAATCTGGCAATAAATAATTGGACAATTCCACCATGGTTTGTTGGGCCTTTAGAATTTCCATGTCGTACCTTCACAGAGACTCTGGTCAACAACCTTGCTACTGAAAACAAACTTGAGTACAGCTACTTCCAGCAGGCTTCCACCTTCTTAGGGCATCACTCACAGAAGCCCTGGGTTAAGTTCTTGGTCTAAGAAGTTTAAGTACTAAGCAACAATCTGTTTCAGCACCTTTTGACCACAACAAAAGCAAAGAATAACCCTATATAAATAAGAACAAAGTTTATAAAGTGCTTATGAAGTTACAAATATTTCAAATTAGAGTGATGTGAATAAGTGTCCATTTCACCATCAAAGGTAAATGCAGAATAAATGGGTCACTTTTCTGTCAAGACCTGACATGACTTTCAAATCAGTAGTTTGGTCCGGCACAGTTTGAAAAGAAAAAAAAACTTCATTAATGAATATATAAATATATTATATTTACCATAATTCATTCTTTCTATGAGATTCAAAAAAAGCACCAATATCAAAAAGTCTGCTACCAAACTTTCTCTGGAGTAGGCCCGCATGATCCACATTTTAAAACTTATTTTAAAGCTGAAAGCAACAAGACAAAACCACACCTCCTCCTTTGTTTTTTGTTTAAACACCTTTGTACAAGTGTAGCATAAAACATAAAAAAACTTCAAAGAATTGAAATAACAAAGGGACATTTCTAAAGATGACTAATGCATTAAATTTGATTTCTGCTTTTCAGTGCAAACATAAAACTTCATGTCTTGTCCTCTTCCAGATTCAGAAGTGTGAAGGGTGTCCATAGGGAGTCACTCCTTGCTGTGGCTGGTTACCTAAGAAGAAAAAGAAATACAAATAAAATTGTAGATGCAAAATTATGCCACAGATAGATGCCACCCCCCTGTCACTTCTCAATAACAGCCTGACTGACTGGCCAGGAGCACAGCGCTGGCCAGGGGCCCCCCAGTGGCAGAGCGTAAACACTGCAGCTGAATTCATTTCTCAGGGAGCCCAGCTCACCTGAGTCCCACACCTGCCAGCCCAAGGTTCTGCCAGCACAAGGCTCAGACGAGGGTAATTGGTTTCTCTCTCTGAACTGAGAAACAACTCAATACTAACTTACAAAAGGACTCTAAGTATCACTAAACATTGAAAGTGCTCAAAATTTTTATAGAAACACACCAATTGTTCTGCTTTAACATGGATATTATGAGATGAGAAAAGTAGCTTGAAAAATAGTAGGTACAAAGAAAGAAACAGGATGAGAATAGCCACTGCTCGCACAACTCTTGTGGGACTGTTCAATACAGAGGCCCATTCTCAAGGTGTGATAGAAAAGGAACCCTCTGGAGGGTGCAGTGGGCAGCTCAGCTTAGCTGTCATTATTCAACCAAGGAGGCGGCAGAGTGTGCACCCGCCTTAGGAGAGACTTGGGAGCACTGTGGGCTCGGTTCCAGACCAAGCAATAAAGCGAGTCATAACCTTTTTCGGTGGAGGCTCTTGCCTTCAGTTTGTCAACCTGTGAAGCCCAGTAAGGCTCAGCGCAAGGAAACGGGGCAGGCCTGTGTGGTGATGCAGCGGCTCCGGGAAGAGCCGTCGGAGCTCTGCCCCAGCTTGTCCCTTGCTGTCAGCTGAAGAACGTTGGGCAGATGAGTCATGACCTTATCCTTTAGCTGTTTTCTCGCCTATAACTGGAACAGTGACAATATCTAACCTCATGGAGTGGTTTAGGAATTAAGTGAATTGATACATGTGAAGTCACAGTGTGCCTGGGTCCAAGAAAGTGCTCCGTAAAGGATGGCTGGTTGGGGGGCGAGGGCATAGATGGGATAAATGGTGATGGGAAAAATAATTTTTTTTAAAAGCTGCATTTCATGAGCTCTGGGAAACTGGAAACAAGAGATGTGCTCCCTAAATAGGTACTACTATATGAAAATCACTGGTACATATTTCTAAACATTGGAAAAAATCTAAAACACACACATTGGTCTTGTCCTTAAAATTATGTTGTCTATTTAGCCATGTAAAAATATCACCACCAGAATTAACGGAGCAATGACATTTTAACCACATGTTTGTTGAGTAGACCACACCTATTAAATAGCAACTGGAAAAGAGGATTGATTTACATAATTTAACTGAAATTGAATGAGGCTCTAAGAGGAAAATATTTTTAAAGGGGAAAAAAGGTCTTGGTTATGTCCCGGGAAAGACACCAGGTACAGGAGGGGTATCTCCCCTGCAGGGAATCAGCAGCCAGGCCGAAAAGCCAGATGAAACCAAGCTGCCCGCCCTCAGTTGGAAACCGGCCCCTTCCTCGCAGCACCCTACCCGTCGCAGGGGCAGGGCTGCTCAGGACAGGCTGCTCAACTCTGCACCCCAGAAGCATGTACCCTGGGACCAGGAGAACCTGCTCCTCTCCTCACTCTATGGATGAGAACCACATGATCCAGATAACGGCGGCAGAGCTGGCACCAGATTTAGGTCCCCTGGCGTCCAGGCCAGTACTCTGCCCCAGAGGGCTGGCTCCCGTTGCTAACAAATTTCCTGCGCCTGCTGCCAACACAGGGTGATACAGTCACGGAGCTCCCCGCTGGCGTCCACACGAGGGAGCTGAATGGGTGAGTGGTATTCACTCTAGAGGCAGCACCATTAAAAACGTCAGCCCACACAGCAGGCGGGACCACCTCGCCGCCTGTGGTGGTACAGTCTGATGTGTCTGAGTTGTTGTCAGGAAGGGTAGGATGGTGCAGTGGTGAAAACAGCCACTGCCCTGTGACCAGGATACAGGTTAATGCTGGCTTCCCTCTGTCTATGACTTTGGGGAGGACATCCACTGAGTTGCTCTCTAAACCTTCCAGCTTTATAAGAAGGGCACCTGCAGCTCCACAGGGGTCCCCAAAAGAAAAGCAATATTTCCAGGTTCAGCTGAAAGCAGCAGGAAAACCTCTTCACTGAACTAAAAAAAAACAAAACAAAAAAACAAAAAACAAAACAAAAAAGATTGGGGTTTTTCTAGGAAAAGTAGCATTCAAACCAAAACAAATAAAAAAACCACCTTAACACCATAGACCCGTGGTCAGCAAACTGAGGCTTGCGAGCCACATGCGGCTCTTTGGCCCCTTGAGTGTGGCTCTTCCTAAGCCTTAGGAGTACCCTAATTAGGTTAATAACAATGTACCTACCTATATAGTTTAAGTTTAAAAAATCTGGCTCTCAAAAGAAATTTCAATCGTTGTACTATTGATATTTGGCTCTGTTGACTAATGAGTTTGCCGACCACTGCCGTAGACTAAACAAAGATGAAGTGGTATCAAGGAAGACAGTGCAGTTTTTGAGGAGCCAGCCCTTGTGTTTTGCTTGTGTGCTTGTTTTCAGTTTCCCAGGAACCATCTGTCCTGGCAAGAGGGGTACTTACTGGAGAGCTGCTTCTGGAGCTGCCGCACCAGGGCAGCCGTCTGCTGCTGCTGCTGTGTCTGCTGCAAGCCTTGCCTGGGAAACTGCAATGTGACAGGAGAAAGAGGGCGTCAGCCCGGGTGCCCATCACAGACACAGAGACTGACTCCCAGGGTCAGAGAGTCTTCAACTACTCCAGGACAAAGGTGCCAGGCCAGAGTGTGTTCCTTTATTTTCACCTCCATCTTGGCCTCCATCTGGTGACCATCTGAAGTGCCCAATCCACTTAAAAGTCCTCTCCATGTGGTTACTTGGCATTTATTTGAAGAGTCCTGATGAAGGAGCCCATACTCCAGCAGTGACCCAGTGGCTCAAATGTCCTTCTTATCTCTCCCTTCATCAGCTGGCTTATTTTAGTGTCACCATATTAGAAAACATTTTCATTGGCAAAATGCAAGCTTTCGGTCGGGGGATCTGTTCAAGCACCATAGGCCCTGCCTGCCCTGCATGAACGGCAGGGATGTGCTGAGGCAGAGCAGGCCCTAGGTCCGGACTCTCACGACTGAGCCTCCCACTGGACGGAGGAGAAAGGTCCACTACTCTCACGGGTGGCTGGGCTGGGCTGGGGCACCAAGGGCGCAAACTCTGAGGAGGTGCTCACTTCCAGGGTCGTGCAAGTGCAGGCACAGATGAGGGCCCATATGCCCTGGTTCTGTCCATTAAGTTGATACAAAAAATTGTGGTGGTTCTTCTAGGGAAAAAAACACTGTCCAGTAGAAGTGAAATCACTTTAGACTAAAATCACTGGTAGTGCTGACTTACTTTTCCCTTAACCTTTAAATTTCAGACTGTTGAGCTTTTCTTCCTTTTCGTGCCTGCCTTCTCTCCCTCTCCCCCTTCCCTCCACCTGGCCTTTTACTACTGTGACAGAGGACATGTTCTTCTGCAAGGCCATCTTGACATGTACACATCAGAACTGTGCAGGCGATTTCTCACATTTCTCACTCACCTCCACAGGCCACGCCCCACCCCACGGGGGCCTGTCACCAGCCTCCTGGATGGAGTGTGGCCAGGCTGGCCCCTTGCCTCTTACGTCTAGATGGGGAGGCGCAGCCCCTGGAGACCGCAGGGCAGGAGCAGGTATAGTTGGGAGGGAGCAGAGTCCAATTTTGTTTTTGCCAATTTCCTTCAGTACAAGTCTCTGCTGGTGGAACACATCTCTCTCTGGGAAGGCCACAGCTCCTGCCAGCAGCCCTCTCCTTTTCTCTCCTTCTTGTGCCATGGCCACAGAGCCCGGGGGGGGCGGGGGTAACTGCTTCCAGCCTGGGGCCCTTTGTCATGCCTGGTTTCCCTTAACCTACCCATACCTCTGTAAACAGTCTTTTTTAAAAAACTCAATTACCCAGTATGAATGAAACATATATTTCCTCCTCAGAGCTTGCTGCTATGGCTAAAAATAGCCCAGGATTATATTTAAGGTTGCCCGATTTAGCAAATGAAAATATGGAACACCCAGCTAAATGTCAATTTCAGATAAACAACACTTTTATTTATTTATTTTTTTTTAGTTCTAAGTATGTCCCAAGTACTGCATGGGGCACATATCGCATTTAGTGTATGCCCCATACAATATTTGGAACATAATTCTAGAGTTATTCATTGTTTACCTAAAGCTGAAATTAATTTATCTGGCAACCCTAATTATAGGGCATCACTGGGTTGATTCTGTTAAAGCTGAATATTTCGCACAACACCTGATCCACCTGTTTCTCTCACACTGGACTGTGAGTGACTTAAAGACTTGGGCTTGTCTGTTAATGTATCCTTAGTATCCAGCAGTGCCAGGCACACCGTAGGTGCTCAGAAAAAATGGACAGAATGACTAACCATGAAGTGCCTTCAATTTCCAAACCTGCCTCCTAACAAGAAAGGTGCACCTCCACCCATGTTACTATTTCCCCCAATACATGGAAGGAAAAGAGCAGCTTGCCACTTTCTCACACTGCCCAAATGAAGAGGGGAAAAGAAAACAAAAATCCATCTTTCAGTGATGCAAAAACGTTCATAAAATATGAAGTAAGTTCTTTTCTATTCAGTGGTTTCTATGATTATTTGGAAATAGACCCTATTTCTTTAACAAAAGCTAATATGGTTCTATGTGTGAGGCAGTGTTCTAGACAGCACCTGCATACATGAGCCCAGCGAGCCCAGCTAACCCTGAAAGGATAATACCACCCTCAGTCTCTCACACAAACCCTGGGCATGTGTGCTATGAAATTCAGTACACATATGATTTACTATGAAACATTCATAATACATAGACCAAGCAAGATCTAAGACAGTACTCCATAATCAAACATTTTAAATCTCTGCAGCAAAACACACAAACAGTCATATCAGATAAAACAAATAAAAAGAGCTTCACATCCGAGGTCAGCTTTTATTACCAAATTAATCAGGTCAGGCTTAGCTGTTCAATGAGTTATAAATAAAATTTCCATTCTCACAGGTGTCTGAATTTTGGGAATGAATATAAGAAATTGTGAAGCTTTTTTTTTTTTTACAGATGGAAGAAGTGGAGGCTTTGAGGGGTGAAGTCAGTCCATGATCCCTGTAAATTTTGGGGCTGGAATTCAGACTCATCTTTCTGAGTCCAGAGCTCATGATCCTAACCACAATCTAGTGCTGTTCTTAATTGGAATATTAGCTTCCAAATATTAATTTATTTGAATATAATCACAGATTCTAAATGGTCGGCTGCAAAGATGTCTAATCTTATTAGCTGATTAAGGTACACAACACATAATTATCTAACATTTGTTCATTCAACAAACACTTAGCTGCCTTCTCTACGTTCATTTAAAGTCTGCTTCAAGTAGAGTATTTCTTAGAATGAAACACTGTAGTGATCTCCTCAGATTTTTATTTTGAGCCAAGGCAGTAACTAGGTCCCTGAAAAGCTAGTGTTTGAGCACAAGCACCCAGGAACACATGTGGGTGCATATTATGTTGGAGAATGGTGGGTGGCCCACTGGGTGACCTTGAGAGATAATATCCCTGGGGGGACCCCAAGACTCTGTTGGGATGTCTACAAGGTCAAAACCATTTTCATAACACTAAGAAATTATTTGCTTTTTCACTCATTTTTTCATGAGTGTACTATGCAGTTTTCCAGAGAATAATAATGTGTGATACTGCAACAAAATGAATGTCTTTTTAACCCAGACACTGAAGTTTTCAAAACTGTAAAACAGTGTCATTCTCATTAATTTTTAGTTTGAAATATACACCCATTTTTCATTAAAAATGTTATTTCTTTTCATATGTAATTTTATTTTAGAATTACGAAATATTTTTAATATTTGTTTTAATTTCTAATAAAGTAAATACTGATAGACACAAAAGCTTTTGCATGTGAAGGGCCACAGCTTTTGCTTGTGACGGGTTCAGAGGCCAAGAGCACTGAGAGCAGCAGGGGAAATCCATGGGATGATCTATCATCTCCAGTACTCTCAGCTATGGTGCTTCACTACATTCCTCTCAAGGCCACCTGGCACTAAATGCAACTGGCTTTAACTTGTATATGTACATGAGCACGCAAGAGATTGCATGTGCAATTTTCTTGGGAAAAGAAGGAGTACCACCAACTCCCCACAGAAATCCCATTACTGAGCATTTCAAATCAAGTTACTGAATGTCTCCTGCAAAGGCTCCCTACACATGGCAGAGGAGCATAAAACCAACAGGGGAAATTTAAGGAGTCACCCTCTTGGACTCCTCCCCAGACTTCCTGAATTAGAATTTCGAGGGCTGAAAATCTGTATTTTGTAAATGGTCCCTCCGGTGATCTGATGCTTGGCTAGATTTTGGAGTCATCCTTGTAGTGAGAGTTGGAACTTTAAATTGACCAAAATAGGTCAGAAAACAGGTCAACTGAGGTCCTACAATTGCCATCTGTGTATGTTTGATCTTCCTGCTGCAATGTAATGAACAAACAGGGAAAGGTCTCTCTGAACTCCATCCATGCAGGAGCTGATGATGGTTTCTCCCACCTGCCCCTTTTCAGATGTTAATCCTCCCAGAACATCCTCCCTTTCATCCTGTCCTGCACCCTCAAAAAGACCCCAGCCTTGAACAGGCTCCAGTTGCCAGCCACGCCCTCAGGCATCGGCAGAGTGAATCAGTGCTCTTGTGCCTGGGCACTGTGATGCCCTCATTAGCAACAAGGCAGCTGCCTCTCCCCCGCCCTCACACTCTGAGGAGGGGTGGGAGCTGTGCCGTGTTCCCACTGCAACCACAGACAGAGCACAGGCTTCATGATCTCCGTCAGGTGGAACAGGTCAACAACGCATAGTCACTCTCCAGTAAACACATTCTCTGCTGAACAAAAAGAATATATTAAGAAGTATTTTGGCCTGGCTGAGTGGCGCAGTTGGTTGGAGTGTACTCCCATACACCAAAAGGTTGTGGGTTTGATCCCAGTCAAGTCACATGTGGGAAGCAACCCATCAGTTCCTCACATTGATGTTGTTGTTTTTTTCTCTCTCTCTCATTCTCTCCCTCTCTCTAAAAATCAAGTAAAAAAAAAAAAAAGTACCCTGTTTTGTAATTTGACTGTGGAAAGTATCTGTTGGGATTGGCTCCAATCAAGGAAGAACTATACATTTTCTACTAACTTATTTAATGATGCAAGTGTCAAAAGAACCACAATTCACTGATTCACTTATTCTCATCCCTAACTGTGAACATTTATAATAAATAAACTTGTACTACTGAGAAAAAAAGATTTTGACACTTCACATATGCAAGTAGAGAATTGATAGTGTCAGTTTCAAAGATGATTTTTGTATTTAAAGTTTCTGGCTTAAATATCTAATGGTGCAGATTTTGAACTTTATAGGAACAAATTTGGTTAAAAAAGTAAGAACTTGATCTAGTTTTGTGACCTTGTGTACTTTTTAAATAAAATTAAGAAAGTAGTTTTCTGCAATAAATAAATAAATAAATAAATAAATAAATTAAATTAAATAAAAATAAAGCAAAAAAAAAAATCACCAAAAACATATCCTTGGGTGAGGATTGAAAAAAAAATTTTTTTTGATGTATATTCTGCCTGATCCCTAAATGTCTATTTTGACAACACACATTTATTCAAGATTATTAAATTTTTGCTCAACCATTACTAAAGGAAGTGCGTCATTAACTAATAATTTCTATTTAATTGAATCTTTTTGTGGCAAAGCGACTTTCTTGGGGCTGTCCTGGCAGCAGAAGCAGACCCCGACTGGTCACCTAGTGGCAGGACTACTGCGGTTAGCGACGCACCTGCCTCACAGCGGGTTTGTCACCTTGCCCTCCGAACTGTGTTCTTCTTTACTTATGGGTACTCTGTGAAGTTTCTTCATTCATTGCTATGACACTCAACAAATCATTTGACAATGCTCATCCAGATCCAAGCACTTCTCTGGGTTCAGGGACACAAACGTGGGTAAAGCACTGTCCCTGCCTCCTGGCCGCTGAGGTTCTTGCTCTAGCAACAACCCGTGAGCACATTATTGGTGAGCAGAAGCACAAAGCACCAAGGCAACCTTTATTTCCAAACTGTTCTGCCACTTGACAGAGTCCACAGACAGTCTGCAGGTCCTTGGATGAATGAAGCGCAGCCCTTCACGGGCACCAGACCCCACAGAGACCCCAGCCCTGCACAGGCTCCTCCGCCCAGCCAGGCGCCTCTGCGGGCACCCTGAGTGG